TTTGATATGTTAAATTTTGAAAGACTTAATTGCACTTTTATTTTGTAAAATGTCACAATTGTTTGATTTTAGTTTCGTAGTAATAACACTTAACGGCTAAACTAGTGAACTTATTTAATACACAAAGAAATATTATAAATACACTTTTGATGAAAACAAAAATTACGCATACTAAATAAAATAAACTATATATTATTATTGTTGTATTAGTATATTATTATTTTACAAATATTTTAAAATTATATAATTATAAAACTATTTAAGTTTTAAACATTATTAATTTCATTCATGCATAAAAAAAATTGTATATTTAGTATTACTACATAAATAAAATTTAAATGTGTTATTAATATTAACAATAATATTGAGTATTTACAGGTAAAATATTAAATAAATATAATATTTTATATGTGATATAAATATTTTACAATGAGATTAAATAAAAGTATGTGATATAATCCTTTTGGAAACACGTGATAAAATTATAAATATATGATATAAATATAAATTTTAATGACTAAAATATACAATTTAAATACACAAATCATATATTTATATTTCTTTAAAAGTATATCAATATATACTTTTATATTTATCAGATTATTAGTTAACCTATAAATATTTTAACAATAATATTTATATTAATTAATAGTATATATAATCTTTTATTTAGTAATATTAAATTTATGTTTTTTATATATGAATGAAATGTAAATTTTATATAACTTAAATAGGTTAATAATGTGACATACTAATAATATTATTAACATTAATTTGTCAATTATATTATTAATATTATTAATATATATAATACAATTTTTTATTTAGCAGTAATAATTAATAAGTATATGTAATTTTGGTTCCATTAAACGTATAAATATTATAACTTTTATTGGTATACAAAAATATTTTATTAGTTTAGATGTTAAGTTTTATTGTTGGACGTTAATGTGTGGGTTTCAATTTGAGTCTTTTATACTTTGATAATAATTTTTTTTACATCATATTATCATGTTGGTGTTTAAATATGTTATCTATTAATCAAGCATCACAAAAACTATTAAACGAATTTGAGAACTCAATTTGTTCATTAAAACTTATGAACTAACATCTTATAATTATTAAGAGATTGTTGAGGTTTCCGTTGAAGTACTTTTGTTATAATTGTAAATCAGTTTAATTCCATCAACGGTCTCAAACACGGCAAGTATACCGGCCATTCAAGTAGTAAAAATATCGTATCCACAGGGATTAGAAGGTAATATAAGAATTTATTGACTATTCGTGACTAAAGAATAATTCCAATTTCATAGTTTGTGCAGTGAATTCAAAGTTGTGACTATTGGAATGAAAGCTGTAAATAAATATTGTTTTATGAGTGGAAAAGGTAAGGAATGGTATTGTGGTATTGTGAGGTTGTGGGGGTCAGATTTCACCAAACGTAACACTAATGTATCCTTAATCTCTTGTTGAATTCATTGCTTAGTCAACCCAAGAGTTTACTCAAACCTAATCCCTTAGAGAAAGAGCCTAGGTGCGGATATTGAATATCAATCCCTTGAGTACCCAATATCTACACCCGCATTACGGGCTAGGGTTTAAGACTACTAATGGGTCAAGCTCTATCCCTAGATACAATCACCACTAGGCATATGTTTCAGAACTAGTTTCAAAGGTTATTTTCCAATACCCATGGAACCTTAAATCATGCAAAGGGTGATCAATCCAAAGCAAGCATTAAGAATAGAAACAAACACAACAAAGAATAAAACAACATGTATATATATCATTAAAACCGTAAAGATTACAATAGAGTACGTTGGTTACATCTAACCCCACAAAATGGGTGAAACCACTCAACAAAGAGGGCAAATACAAAATAGAGATGGAAGAGGAAGTGAAGAACCGAAGGAAAGATCCGCACACGGACGATCCCAAGCCCTGGGAATCCCTTCCGCAGCTCCTGGAGGCGCCCAATGTGAGAATGGAGAGAAAGATCCCCGAAAATGGCTTCAAATACGAGCCTGGGAGATCAGATTAGGGTTCCGCGCCCGGCGCACAATTCTTCGCGCCCGGCGCAAGTTCTTCCAGAGAAGTCAAGCACTCTCTGTCTCAACACAAGCCCGACGCAATTCCTTTTGCGCCCGGCTTAATTCCTTTTGCGCCCGGCGCAATATAACTGGCAGAGATGAAATACTCTGTTTTTGTCACGCCCAGCGCGGGTTATATTGAGCCCGGCGCAGAACCTCTTCTCTGCTCCTTAGCTTCTTAGGTTTCCAATCCTAAGAGTCTTCAATCCTCAAGTCACTAGCTCAATACCTGCACAAAAAATGAGGTGTATTAAGGTATTGTTAGCTGAATTTGGGTTAGTTATATCTGCACACAAAATGAACCAAAAAGAGAACAATTATATTGCAATGGTTCAGAGGATGAGTGTAATTTGTTCAATAAGTCTCATCTAAAAAGAAGTAAAATTGAGACTTAACAGAGATTAAAATGCAATTAAGCCAATTTAAAAAAATAAAAAAAATTTATATCGAAGTTTAACCCTTTTAATAAATAAAGGGATTAAATGGAATAAATTAAATAAAAACAAAAAAATGAATAACCTATAAAAAATTAAATTTTTAACAAGCAAATAAATTTATTTAATAATTAAAAATATTTATAACACAAGTATTTTTCATGAAGGATAATTTTTTTTTCGACAGCACATAGAATGACTTCACACAAGAAAGTTATCTCTCTCATGCTCGTTATGAGGATTAAATCTAGGTCCTTATATTTCTTATGAAGACGTGATGAAATTTCTTTTCCTTGTAACTATTTCTTATATGTTACGTATCAAATAAAAGATCTTTTATCTATACAGTGATTGAATATTATAATTAAATATATTTTTAAATTCAATTATTATCTCTATGCATTATTTTTATACTTTTAATTTTTATATTATGAATAAATAATATTTATATTGTGAATAAATAATTTTTATATTTATTTCAATGTTTTAGAATATTGTCAGTAATTAAAAATAATTTTGTATCATAATATAATTTACTAGTATTTTAAATTCATATCTAATTTAGTTTTTATTTATTATAATTATTTATAAATTAAACTTTAATATTT